CGCCGCCGCCGCCCGCGCAGTTTCCCAAGCCCTCGCGACCCCGCGCGCCGCGCATCCTCCGGCGCGTGATGCAAGGCCCCCGAATGCTAACAATAGGCGCCGACAGCCGCGTCTTCCCGCGCAGGGGAATCGGGCCCGGCCCGCGCCGCGCCGCGCCGCGCGGCCGCATGCTTGAGTGCAGTACCAGGTTACTGCATTGACCAACGCATCAAGCGGGCGGGGAAGGGGCCAAGGTTCTGTTGCAGTAAGCGCCGTGGGCGGCAGGAAGTGTTGGGTAAACGCCCGGCAGGTGGATAGGCGGTCGGGTGGGGGCGTCTGAATGGCAGAGCTATGTAGTTGGAACGCGGACGAGTGAAGATGACACAGATTGATGCCATGGGATTTTTTAGAAGATATGCAAAGATCAGGAGTTCGAGGCTGCAGTTCTGGTGGGACCTGAGGAATGATTCTAGGAGGAATTGAGTCCCGGAGGGTTTGAGGACTCAATTCAGGAGAAGTAGTTCTAGAAAGCTTGAAAGCTGTCCAGTTCACAATATGCACCCCGCAAAAGATGGAAGTGTAATAACCGTGTAGTGTAGTGAAGCGATTGGCAAGGGCGGTGTTCAGTAGGCCCTAATGAGCCAGAAAACGAACGACCGAAATGCGTGCCAGAGGGCGAGATAGGAGCGACGGGCGGGCGGATGGGAGCGCTAGGCGTTGGAGCGCGCACACGGGCGGGGGTGGGGCGGCGGACGCGGCACCCGTGCGCGGATTTGAATTACACGGGCGGGGATCCGTGGCGCAACGATTGCATCTGCTCACGGCCCGTGGTGGGTTCCCATCGGGGTCGAACGGGCTTGAGTACGCCTCGCCAGCCGCCGCTCGCGACTGATGCTCTTCCACTTGGGCTGCGAGCGCAGTGGGACGATATAGCCCGAACGTCCACGTTTATGTGTTTCCGTGAATTCGAAGCGATCACATCCCCAAAAAATGTGTGTTGTGTTCCAATGAAACTGATAAATTTAGGTAGTATTGTGGTCTTCATCAATCGGTCGGTATCGAAAGTTTTTTCTTCATATTTGTGTTTTTCTTCATAAAGATTACTATAAGCAGGGCAATTTTATATTGTTTGATTTGCAATTTCACGTTTTGCGAATCAGTGAATGAAGTGCAAGTGAATTCAGTTTGAAACGTACATATTTTATCACTTAAAATCAATATGTTTTGAAGCTGCAATGATTGCTCTAAGCATTCACATTTCATTACGTATTATTAAGTTGATGCTCCCAATAATAATTTTATTTTCTCATTGTGCTGTTAGATGGAAGTCAAAACTAGTACTCCTCCAACGCCAGATATTTTCACATACACGATCTGTACAGATGTTATGTGACACGGCTTATCCCCACAATATTGGACCTCTTGCGGTGAGCTTGCCTTTCGGCCCAGTGGGCGACGGGCGCGCGGGCAGACGCATTTTCGTTTATGCACTGCGCTGCGCCCGATCTCGCCCGCGCACCTGTGAACTTGCGCGTGGCGGGCGCGTCCGCCTCTCGCTCGAGCGACCGACCGACGCGGCCGGAATACAAGCGGACTCCATCCGAATGAAAAGCACAGCAGAGCGCGGGAAAATGCACTGCGTCTTCTGTTATGGTGCTGGCGCTCAATATGGCACTGCACTGTGTCAGGGTTATTTAGAAAATTGCACCAACCTATTTCTTGTTAGATTATTACGCATCGTTTCATGTTTCTTTCTGTTAGGCTAGTATTAATTCGTAATACATTATTAACATGAAATGAGATGATTTGAGACTCTATTAAAAGAAGTGCACGTGAAACAAATGATAATCACATTTTCCCATGCACGTGCAAGCAAACTAGAGATATATCATCTTCAATGTTCACAAAAGTAACGATTTTTTTCCTCTAAAGAAGTATTTCCTCCTAAATAATGAATTCGAGGCAAATTCCTTGTCCATTTATTAACCATGACCATGATACGAAGTACAGTTCTTCCCAAATATCAATGTATCCGCCCCTCGGTTCCGCATGTGCGGAAGAGCGAGTGGTGCGAGCGAAGGCACCAGCGCTTGCCCGCTGCACTCACCTTGCAGCCCTCGCAGGTGAAGGCGCCGAAGTGGAACCCCGCGGCGGGCTCGCCGCACACCTTGCACTGCTGGTTCATCTGCAATTCGAAAACAAAGCATCTTTACTTGTCTTGCCTTAGTATGTATGATATATTTATTTAATATTCATGGCGATCTACTTGTTTTTCGTAATTAAACAATATAAGGGAAAAGATAGAGGGTTGGGTTTCTGTAGCTTAAGAAAACGTGCACGAATAGTCATGTAAAAAAGTATTTCATATTTTTTTAACACAAAATTTCAATTTTTGCTATCAAAAATAAGTTTAATTAAACATTAGTCGCATGAATTCGAAATTATTACAGATTCCCTGGCCTACTCTCACAATATCTAAAAAAAAATCTACTAGAATTGGCAAATAAATATTTTTTTCTATCAATGATCATCCTTGGAGCAAATTAATAATACAAGGTTCTTGAAAAAATACTGGTCCGTAGCGTATCAATGGCATTAGCCAAAAGGAGTAAATTACCGGGAATCGAAATTCCATCTTTTTGCCAGCAGGTTCCTCTCGACCCAAAGAACACGCCAAACATCTGACTAAGCAAGAGCTACCTCTTCCACGGTCCTTCTTCGCTTCAGTTCCCCTCTCCCTTCATTTCGCGCCTTTTTTTTGTGAGTCTCCCGCCCCCTTCGCCGGTGTTGCCACCAGAAGTGGGGCAGTGCGAGAGAGCTTACAGGCTTACGACCGGAAGAACCTTGACCACTACGTGCGCTGCAACAAAGCGATCCCTTCCGGCGCGTGCCTGGGGGCACGAGGGGGGAGGGGAGGTCAAAAACCACTTCGCGCTTGCGTTTGTTATCCCTCTCAAATATACGGCATAGGGGGACTCGAATATCGGTGGGAAGGGTCTTGGGCGGGAAACGGTAGGTCAGAGTGCTTTTATCGAATAAAAATAAGATCTGTTGTGGCAGTATGCCATTGGATGAAACAAATTGTTCCTGTCAAGTATATTAAGAATGTTAATTTTGTTGACTTTGTAGCAAATCTGTGATCTTTGATTCAGAATTTAGCAATATATCAATCGTATTGAATTCGTTTCAAGAACAAATAGTTTGCTGTTCACATTCCTTGCACGTCGGTAGCTGATTTATCATAATATGTATGTTCTATAGTTATTTTAACTTACATCATTTTCTTTTATATAGGACAGTCAATTCCTTTTTCCTTTGTACTTAATATTTACGCATTAACACAAGGTATTGTTTTATTAAATGCAAAAAAGCGTTTCAAGACTGGGTAGAACGGGTCATCATTGAGTCGTGTATTTATTATTATTATTATTATTATTATTATTATTATTATTATTATTATTATTATTATTATTATTATTATTATTATCATTATTATTATTAGATATTATGAAGTAGATGAGTTATACATTTTTTGTCAGTTCAAAAAATAGACGTAATAATGGTTTAGACGGCCTTGGAAAGGTTTAAAACCACTTGGTGCCTATCTGCTGAAGGTTCCAACAACTTCGATTTCTCGTGGTTGAAGCTACTTCCTACCTAACTTGGCAAGTACTTGAAAAAATTCTGACCCAAATTTGATCCAAGATGTCAGTTTCTGAGCGATGAAAATAAAGCAATTGATTGTATGCAGTGTCTTCAATTATAAACCTTTATTTTACGTTACGGCCAAACGAATCAGTGCGATTTGCGAAGGCGGTCGCGCAACGCATTGTACGAGTCTCCTTGCCGCTCGTTGTAACATTCGACAATCGAATATTTCTCTCAGAATTGTGCTCGGATACTCTGTGTAAGTGTACGAGATTTGGGCAGTTGACCTCACCGATCACACGCGTAGCGCAACGCGCCCTAGCGCAACGCAAAGTGCGTAACGCAACGCGGCGACGCAGTGCGCGAGCGCGAGGCGAAAGCGATCCGACGCGGCTCGGCACGCGCTGTGCGAAAAGTTCCCAACGAGAGCGAACAGTAAACATGCTGGGAAACGGCCCCTCCCTCCCCCACCCCCGCCCCGGACGGGGACACGTGGCCTACTGCGGCGGCGCAAGGACATGCGCTGGAGGGTACGTGTTGCCGCTAATGACCTAGTAACGTACTTAATGGGCGAGTTAGCTCGTGTAAAGTTTGAGTAACGTGTGGAGAACTTAACACGATTTTCTTCCTGACGTTCCATTGACCATCTCGTTACCGTGTGTATTTGTCACGGTCAGTTTTTAAGTCTGGATATAAATGCTTTATGTTACTGACTGAACACCAACTATCAGACAAAACCCAAGGGAACAGAAACTACGAAAAACGTCGCTGTAAACAAAAGAGAAAAATAACACTCTTTTAAAATTAACAAAATCAAAACAACATTGTTGATGGTATCTTTTTCTTTTATTTCGATAAAAAAAGACGTGCATTATTTTATTTGCTGACACTTTGCTGTAATAGAAAAAGTTGCATTCTGACTTTTAATCATATGACAATATTTGTCATTTAATATTCATATCAGTAATTGGATTTGTCACCATACATTCCGAAATTAGAAAACAGATTTCTTGTCGAATCGTTTAGGCCGAAGAAATTTGTCGACGGTACTGAATCTCCCGAATATCCAGGAGCCATGTTGATGCATATGAAGAGAGAGTTTAGCGGGAAATAAACACCTCCTTGTCTGCATCTGTCACCGCAAGAAATGGGCCTCCGGACTGCGAACATATTCGAACGCTTCTGCGTCGTCGGCGTCGCCTTCGCCAACGCCATCGCCGGTATCGCCGCCTCAGCCATCAACTCCAAAGGCAGAAACGCACTAGGCCGCTACTAACGCGTCGCCTCTGCTGTGCCCTCCCCCAATGAGTCTCCGCCGCCACCACTAGCGCGGCAGGCCCCCGACCAACGGGCAGTACCTCACGAAACCCTCGCGCGAGTGAAATGCGAGGAAAGTGGGAATCCGGTTTGCCCGAATCGTATAATTTCGCGTTAGAGAGCAATTTGACCGCTGGAGTCGCACCTTCGCCCCCGCGCCGTGGAAAGCTGCCTACCCAGCGAGACTTCCACTCGCGGCGGCGCGTGGGGTTCACAGGAGAAGCCGCGAGGTCGAGACCCGGCGGGCGTAAATCAGCGCCACTCCAGCCGCAGCCACCCTCCAGCCTGCCCTCGCGCGGCTTCCTCATTGAGTGTTGTCGCGGCTGCAGCGAGGACGCTCGTGGCATTCGTTTTGAGGACATTTCGTTGCTTCTCCCGGAGAATACTTCATTCCGGTTGAAGAACCGCCTTTGGGCGCGTTGATGTTGGACGTCGCCGTCCTTCTACGAGGTGCGTCTGCGCAGTGCTTTATTATTGTGTCGCTTCCCTTTCCTGACCAACGCATTTTCGGTTTTCATTTTGAACGTCTTGGAATATTGTACTGTTTCCAACTTAACGACCCTGGTAAAAAATTACCATCTTCGTTGAAGAGGCACATCTGGCATTTGTCGTACCCATGTCTTCTACACTAAAGAACTTTTGCGGCAATAAAACAATTTTTCACACTTGTTATATTTAGTCACACACATCAGGTCATTAACTTTTTAAATTTTCAGTCAGTCATCCTTCGTTATTTGTTCTAAGGTAATGAGGTTAAACGGTTCCTCTGTATCAGCTTTACCGTGTACATGTGTGTACTGTTCATAATGTGGTTAAGTACTCTTGTTTGCACCATATAGTAACTTACTACCACTTACACCATACTTCCTTTCTCAATATTCAATTATTATGGGATTAATTATCTATTACAAGTTATCATCATCAGAATTCATTATTTTTTGTGAATATATCCTTCACAATTGTAAATGCAAACAGTAGTTATAACTGTAAATGCATACTTGTTAGGAGACGAGATCAGATTAGATTTTGTCCCGACCGGCACCCCCTCTTCACGGGGGGGGTCCCTTGCTAACCGACGTGAAGGTCGGTGCAGAATTTCACCATTCGGCGGGGAAAGGAACACCGCCACTTCCCGAGCAGGAGCATTCACTACACTAACGGAAATACATTGCAAGGCAGTTGACGGACCGGCAGCGTCAATCACACAAATAATCATCTGATGGGACGTGAAAAAATTCCTCCCTTCTCCTTTAAGACGCCCCCCTCCCCTCCTGCGTATCGCCTCCTGCCACTTTCGGATCACCCGAGGCGTTTCGCCGCCCTGCTGACCGGGCGGGCCAGTGCTTCCTTCCGCGGCGCGAGGCGGCAGCGGGCGCGAGACGCGACAGCGCTTTCTCCAGCGCGCGGGGCGGGCGGGGCGGGCAGGGCGGGGCGGGGCGGGGCGGGGCGGGGCAGGCGAGGTGTCAGAACCGCCCGGGGCGATGCGACGCGACGCGACGCGACGCGACGCGCCGAGGCGCGAGGGCACGCGAGCGGGGCCGCCGTTTGCGCGCAAATATTGGGCGCGGCCGCCGGGAAGACGGCGTTGAGCGTGGACGCGGGCGCGGACACGGAAAGCGCGTCTCGGCGCGGACACGTCCGCCGCCGCCGCTGTCGCGCCACCTTACAGCCTATGGTTGGTTTGCGCCTTTCGTTTCTACTTGCCCGCTCCGGGAGAGGTGGCCCAGAGCAGTGCCTCTGGCCAGGAGGTCCTGGGGTTTCGACACTAGCCAGATAGCTAGCTCGAGTTCTGTCGCTGTTTGGAGGATAATTCTGACGGCCGGCTCCTCTAATCAGTAGTTTGTCGTTCCTTGTTCTCTTCGCCCGTTCGCTCGGCTGGTTGCTCCGTCGTCTCGACACCCGGCAAACATCAAGCTAACTTCTTTTTCGTAGTTTCACATTAGAACCGCAAATTAAACAACAGTTTTTAGGTCTGCTCTAACATGTTGGTACACTTGTTAGACGGCACCGGTTCGGGATGGCCATTTCTGCCGCGTTTGAAGGTAAATGGCTTCGCGAGGAAGAGCGTGAGAGGGCAAAAACCGCCGCAGTGAATGAGCGCGGGCAGTGCCTGCGCGCCTCCTCCCTCACCTCCCTCCAAGTGTACGAGCGCAGGTCGCAGTTACGCAGCGCTACGACCTCTTTCCAGTGCCACTGTGCACTTAGCACGTTTCCCGCGAA